TCAAATCCAGTGTTGGTGGGATTTCAAATGAATCCCGGGATTTGAAATCCGACCATTTCTACAAACCAAACGTAGGATTGGAATGGATTTCAAATCCAAATCCCTCCAAATCCCTCCAAATCCCTCAAACCAAACGCGCCCTTAGTATATTAAAGATGGTTGAGTTTGACTCCAAAGGTCAAATGTACCAGGAGGTCTCAGGTTCAAATACAATGAGGAATAAAAATCCCCTTGTGGCCACGGAGGTTCAAATACAGTGACTTCGGGCTATCTGCAAAGCAGGTGGTTACCTTGAGATTATTCGGCTTGCATAGCGGATTGGATATCCAGGTTAATAAATAAAAAAAAGCCATTTAAAGTATTAGTATAATCATGATGGTTGATGAATGATGATTGTTTTGTATATGTTTAAACCATGGATAATTGGTGAGTAACGGTTAATTGAATGTCAAGTATTAGTGTTCCTTTGTTTATGTTCATTTAGACATGTTCGTTTATGTTCGTTTACGTTCGTTTAGCATGTTAACGAACGAACATAAACGAACACGAACACAATTATTTTCGTTCGTTTACCGTTCGTGTTTGTTCGTTTGTTCAGTTAAGCTAAACGAGCGAACATGAACAAGCCTCTGTTCGTATTCGTTTGGTTCGCTTACAGCCCTAGTTATGTTTAGCAAATTAATTGATAGTTAACTGGTAATTGATAAGTTAGTTGTATTTCATAAATTAGTTGATAGTTGATCAGCTATTTGATGAACAAATTATGTTTGGTAAAACTAACTGATGAGAATGTAAAATGATCAATTTTTTTTTTTTTGAAAAGTTAATTAATTATAACGTTTCAAAATATATACTTGAAACAAATATCTAATAATATATTAACTGATACAAATAAGATGGTAAACAAAATTTAAAAAATATATAGTATATTGATTCTTTAAATAAAGAATTTCAAATAGATTATTGTATACTAGAAGAGTACTTGCGCAATGCAGCGAGACACGTCTCGATTTTAATGTTCTATTTTATTATTTGTCTCTGTCGATGTTATAATACGATTTTATGTGTTTTTAAGAAAGCAATAATGAATTTATTTTTGAATAAAATATAAATTTGAAGATATCAAAAAAATTTGAAAAAAAATATATTAATGTTAATATTAAATCAACTATTTTAAAGTTTTTATTTTTTATTATAATTTAATTTAAGTTTATAACAAAATAATTTATTTTTTGTTTAATAATATAATATTTCATAAAAGTAATAATTAAGTATTTTGTTAGAACTCAATGATTATTCTGATCATATTTTAGATTTTTTATATTTAAAATGAAATATTTATCTTGTATTTGATTATATTTATCTGCAGTTAGTTACACGAATTCAGATATGGAGATTTAATAAATTGTACTTACGCACAATCTACTTACAATATTGAGTTTTAAGTAATATGCATTAATAAACAGTACTTTACACATAAAAAGTGGTTTTTAAGAGTTTTTGTCAAATGCTTTATAATATAGTGTGTGTATATATATATATATATACACACACACACACACACACACTAGAAGGGTATTCGTGCAATGCATCAAGACACATCTCGATTTTAGTGTTTTTTTTTTATTAACCTGGATATCAACCCGCTGTTTTATTCTTTTTTTATGTTGATATAATACGGTTTTATGTGGTTTTGAAAACGCGATAATGTTTTTATTTTTGAATAAAATATAAATTTGAAAATATTATAATTTTTTGAAAAGAAAATATCGATATAAGTATCAACTTAATTTTTGGGGCAAATTGCATGAAAAAGTAACGTACTTTAACTTGATTCATATTTTGGGTAATGTTCTTTCAAAACTTCTATTTTGGTACCTAAGACGTAAAATTTTAAACATTTAAGTACCCGGATAAACGGTTGAAGCATTAACCAATTATCATATTGATGTGTCCATTGATGTGGTATGCAACTCAATATTATTTGATAACATGGTTATTGGCATGATTTTTTTTAAATATAAAATTACTCTTTTTTTAATCTAAAATTAGTCTTTAATTGGTTACTCGGGTACTTAAATATTTAAATTTAACATCTTAGATATCAAAATAGAAGTTTTGAAAGTACGTTACTCAAAATAGAAATTAAGTTAAAGTACGTTGTTTTTTCATGCAATTTGCCCTAATTTTTTTTAAATTCTTGTTTTTGTTTCCTTAATTCAAAATTTTCTATTATAATTTAATTTAGATTTAGTATCGAAGTAATTAAATTTATTATTAATAATATAAATTTTTATAAAAGATAACTAGTTGTGTACCAGCGCAATGCGGCGTGAGCCATGAATTTTAACGATTTTGAAAATTTAACGATGATATAGGTTACACTTGGCCTTTACATATTAATACAATTTGAATAAATAAGAGTTATGATTCCAATTACAGACTATCGATGAAAAAAATTGTATGACAGTTTAAAATCCAATATATTTAAAATCCAACATATTTAAACGACTCCACAAATGTGTTCGATTTACACAAAGAGCAAAGAACTAAGAAACTCGAGTTTTAAGATAAACACTCAAAACCAATAAAGAAAACTACAAATTTGACAGATCATAAGCCACGAAAAGACCAAAAAAGATGGGTTTTAGAATGAAATTCAACTGTTTACCCTCTTTCTTGTCCAGAAACTCAGATTAAGGTTGAATTAATACAATGTATATATATATTTTAAAAAACCCCAATAACATATTAATTCATAACATATTATACAGTGCAATTTTGACAGCCTAACCCCAAAATATATAGTATATGTATAAATAAATAACTACAAAAGTATAATTCGTAAATATTAAAAATATTTTTTCACAGTATATATAATATATAATATAATTAAGTAAAAAACTATTCAATATTGGACTCATTTCGAATGTATTAACGAGACGATTATAATGATGTAACTTGTTAAAATAAAAATGTATTTTTTAAACATGTTTTAATTGATATACGATTATGTATGTTAATTTGATAAAAGTTTAAAATGAAACATTTAAAAGTAAAGGACGCAAAGTAAATTAATTAACTAATTATAGGGGTATAAAATATAAATTTAAAATTATAATTCAAAAAAAATCGGTTGTGAGAAGGTGAGTGTATGTGAGGAGAGGTGGGAGTGAAAAAGTGAAAAGTAAAAAATGGTAGTATAAAGGGTATCTTGGTCATTTAGTATTTTAAGACTTTAAGACTTTTGCTGAATTTGCTTAATAAGATAGTATAGATATAAATAACTAAGTATTCTGTTAGAACTCAATAATAAGAGAGAAAAAAAAATCAAAATAAAGTTTATTTTAGTTTTTATTTAGTGAATCACTATTTTTTCCAAAAATCAGCATAACAAAAGTATATTTTTTTCTACTTCATACCTATTTTACCCATGATAACCAGTAAATTTTATAACTGTTAAAATACAAATTTATTTATCAGGTTAAATGGATATAAAATATGAAAATTAATGGTTATTAGATGATTGATTTTTGATAGAAATTTGTGTTTTGAGTTGTATGTTCATTCTTCAAATAAATTCCACTTTGTTTTCTGTTTTTATCTTAGGGGTCGTTTACTCAATTGCTTACCCAATAAAAGCTTACCGATAAGAGTCAACACTATGATTTATTTCGATGTGCATGATTTTTAGTATATCAAAACATATCGAATGCAATAATTTACTGGGTAAGCGCTTACCTCGGTAAGAGTCGTCATTCTCACTTACTGGGTAAGACTCTCCATCGATCTTACCCGGTAAGATTCTTAACCTTTCTCATGCTCATCCGATAAGGAAATTTATCCGGTAAACACTTACCAAGTAAGTGTTTAGTAAACGGCCCAAGATAAACAATTTTAATTTAAATGTAATTAATTTTTTTAAAATTTTTCCTCCATAAATAAAAAAAGGGTAATTGAAAACAAGCAAAAGAAAATATTATAACTACAGAAGGATCAGTTTAGAATGATGGAAAGTTTTGTGGTCAAAATGAAATTTGGTAAAGTTTAGGGCAAAAACTGTGTAGATGAAAAAGAAAAAAGTTCCATTGCCGGGAATCGAACCCGGGTCTCCTGGGTGAAAGCCAGATATCCTAACCGCTGGACGACAATGGATTCATGTCTATTAATTGCATAAATATATATATAATGAAGTGTAGTTTTGCGATTAGAACGTAATTTTTAATTTGTTATTTTGAATCAGTAAATAAGAATAAATAAATGGTCATTTACCAAACACTTACGGGTTATCAAGTGTTACTTATCTTGTCGAGTGAATATGATAATGAGCAGTAATCGTACCCGGTATAAACAAATACTGGGATTTTACCCTGTAGGTGAGGGGCCAGGTAAAATACGATAACAACAGTTCATTTTAATAGTTGAGGATGTTACCTAATAAGATAATTGAGGATGATGGCTCTTGCCAATAAGTGTTTAATAAACGACCTCTAAGACCATCGATAGAGAGAGAGACTTGGGATCATGTGAAACAAGGTTGTTTTCGTGCGACACATGAGACAAGTTTTTTATACTTCGAACTTTACAGCAAAACGCTGTGAATGTAACATTCATAGTGTTTTTGTTGCGAAAGTTCGGTTTTTTTTTTTTTTACTTTCACAATGTTTTGCTGTGAAGTTTCAAGTATAAAAATCTTGTCTTACGAAAATAGTCTACTCTCACGTGAACCCAACCCCCTTTCTCTCTCTCTCTCTCTCTCTATAGAGTATTTGCACAATACAGCGAGACACATCTTGATTTTAATATTTTATTTTATTATTTGTCTTTGTAGATGTTATAATACGATTTTATGTGTTTTTAAGAAAACAATAATGATTTTATTTTTGAATAAAATATAAATTTGAAGATATCATAAAAATTTGAAAAAAATATATCAATGTTAATATCAAATCAATTATTTA